CCCCAGCCACTGACCTTCAGGATGAGCTCCACCACCTCAGTGTGCACCAGCCCGTGCACGGGCTCCCCGTTGACGTGGGTGATGAGGTCCCCGGCGCAGAGCCCCGCCTCGTGGGCCGGGCCCCCCTCCTCCACGTGCTGCCGGGCAGAGGGCAGGGTCAGGCTGGCCATGCTGCTTACCCACAATGCAAGGCCCCAGCCAAGGGCCCAGGGCCCCTCCCAGCATGCAACACTCCGCCCAGGGTACAGAGCCTTTACCCACAATGCACCTCCCCTGCCCATCGCTGGTGCAAGGGCCGTATCCAGAATGCACCGGCCCCAGCCTTTCCCAGCATGCACTGCTCTGGCAGAAAGGTGTGAAATCCCTTACCCAGCATGCACTGCCCCCCATGGGGCACAGGACCCCACCCCCCACCCACACTGCCCCCCATGGGCACAGGCCCTCGCCCAGCCGGGCCGTACCCAGACGATGTGATGCACGCTGTAGACGTCGCTGTCGCCCATGTAGACGCGGATGGCGCGCAGCGTGAAGCCGTACTTCTTGCCGGAGCGCTGGATGGTGATGGGCGAGCGCAGGGCGGTGACGGCAGGCGAGTAGTCGCGGCTCGGGGAGGAGTCCCGCGAGGACGGGTTCGAGGACAGGGAGCGAGGCGACATCGGGCTGGCCAGGGGGGAGCCACCGCGTGAGCCCAGCACCATCCTCCCCGAGCACGCTCATCCCTGCTCTAACCACTAGATCCCACTTCCCTCCAAGAGCAGGGATAGAACCCAGGAGTCCTGCTCCCCCAGTGCACAGTACTGCTGGGAAGCGCTGCGTGCTGCTCGCAGGGCGGGGGCAGAGAGGAGAAGGCTTCGGGTGCTCCCCTGCCCCCAGGTCCTAATTGGCCCTTTTGCCCACCCCTGGCTTAGAGGTATCAGTGTGGGGGTACTTGCAGGGATTATGATGGACAGGGTGGGGGCGGGGGTACCTGCGGGGATCATGACGGACAGGCCAGGGGCGGGGGTACCTGCGGGGATCATGACGGACAGGCCGGGGGTGGGGGTACCTGCGGGGATGATGACGGACAGGCCAGGGGGTCGGGGGGGGAGCGGGGAAGGGAGGAG